GCCTAGAGGGGAGAAGACCCAAGTTATAATTACAAGGACCTCCTGGGAGTTGTCTTGTTACGGACCGTGAGGGCGCTTGTGATGTTGACGTGATGTAATTTACTCTTCTGAAGATCACAACTTGAAGCAAACTGTATACAAAGCTATAGCGCCGAAACGGAAAAAAAGCTTCACGTGCACGACCTGCTAAGAACAAAGAAGAATATTAAGAACAAAGTTTGGACTCTTTTAACACAAGCGTAAAAGATTCATATGCGTTAAAAGATTAATACATTTTATAAAAGAGATGATTTTATTGGATTTTTTGTGCCACTTTCGCCATGACTTATCTGCTTGAAGAGTAAAACATATGCTTTTCTAAGTTAAAAAAATAGTTAGGAAAAAACCAATAAGTTGCTAAATCTTTAAAATAAAAAAAATTGACGTTTCACGACCTCTAAGCTGTTATGATGTTGCTACAAATTACAGTTAGTAATGTTTTGCTTAATCACTTTGATGAAACGTGGTCTAATTTTTGTAGGCCTGCGTAAGCTGAATTTGAATGTTGGGCCAGTGTGGATAAGAGTGAGATGGTCATGTGATTTAATTGAATATAATGTTTCTTCTAAGTCAGGGATATACATTTAATGCCCAACGATCAAGGACAGCTAGGTCCAGTTTCTACTGACTTCTCAATATCAAACATTGATAGGTGATATATCTTTATCCTTAATAGGCAATATACTTTAATTAATAGGCGGCTACCAGGACCACGTTACTTTTACAACGCTACCTATTACGTTGTTTCGAAATACTAAAGGCTTATTAAATTTAAGAGATTTTAATCATTTAAAATGTTTAGATATATTGCTATATTATGTGGAATAGTATAACCGATTGTAGTTATTAATGGTCTAGTTTAATCTTTTGCAAATTTTTAATCGCAAATGTATCACAAAATGAAAGGGAACCGGTACATTGTAAAATTAACTTTCAACTTCCAATACACAATTGTTTCTCTATCAATTCTTAAAATCATTGATTATTACATATGCAATCCTGTAATTTATTTGACATTTTAAATTCATTTCACACAAATATAAAAGCAAAAAGTCGATTTTTTACGAAGGATTCTTAAAAAACGGATTTAAGTTTTTCCAAATCTAATTCCGAACCTATTTGCCATCTCGTTGGTTAAATCATTTTTAATTTTAATTTGATTGCAAAACAACATAGTGAAAACGATGTATTCCAGTCCCAAAACTATTTTTGAACATCAACCAACTAGGCTACTAATCAAATATTCTCAACAAGTTTCCAAAACATAATTTTAAATTGTTCTCTAAATTCTAAGGTGGTACAAAAAATAACACGAAGAGGCCTGCGAAGGTGAAGAGATTTCAGCAGTATTGTACAATAAGGATGAAATCAGTTGTCGGCAGCAGCGTCTGTCCAGGGGGAGACGGGAAAGATGTTATCTAACGTTCTGGACGTGACATTCGGACATCCTTGGATCTTCTGTTAACTCCATCGGAGACTTGACTTTCCTCGCCATCACCTCCCAAAAGACTCTCTCAACTTTGCTTTATCATGGATTAAGGATTTTATAAATTTTCCTGAGCCTGTAAATAGATCTTTGAAGTGGAAAGCATTGTTTGCGTTTGTGAATTGTTTTTGTGTTGTTTTAGTGTTTAAGCTTAACATGTTTTTAGCGAATTTCCCATATAGGGAATAAGCTATTACCGTAGTACTCATGGTAAGACCTGGACCCGGGACCGATTTTTTTTTCGTTTTGAGGTCCCTAGAGGCCAAAAACACCATCCGTTCAAATTCATATATATATATATATATATATATATATATATATATATATATATTTATATATGTGTCCGTTAGCGCGATAACTCGAGCAAAAACGATCCGATTTTGATGAAATTTGGTACAAACGTGTAAACCTACGTTTATTCGAACGAGTTCGCGAACCAGCATGATCGGACCATGGGAACGGGGGTTTTTGGGGGGTTTTATGGGGTAAAAATGGGTTTTTCCTACTTTTGACTCAAAAAACATAAAATTTTGCAATTTCTTTCCAAACTATTTTGTAGAGCTTAAAAAAACAAATAATTTAGTATATAAAGCGTTATAATGCACCTAATGGTTACGGAGAAAATTTCAAAAAATTGTAAATTTAAAATTCCCATGTTATTCTTATGGAGAATAAGTAAACTGTTGTAGTTTGCTTGTTTATTAACATTTTTTGCCCAAATTTAGAAAATGTTTTTATTTCTTACTAACTATTAACATTTTACATAAAAAACACTTTTACCCTCCCTGTTGCAGCAAACCTAAGTATCTGTTAAACTGATTCTATTTAAATAGGGAATAAATGTGATATTTTTAAGGAGACATTTTAGTGTAAATCCAATCAGGCAAATGGAAATTCGCTTAGTCTGCAGGTTTGCTGCGGCGGGGGTATTTTACCATTACTAACGTTTAAAGTGATTTTTACTGAGGTCGAAAATCGTTCGGACATTCGTTTTGATCCTTAAATAAACTTTATTTCTTGTTATATTGCAGCATTTGAAAGAAAAAAATACGTTAAACAACACTTGTAATAATATATTTACACTTTTACTGTTGACTCACAAGACACGCATATAAAAGATGGAAAGTGGTGATCGATTTCGATTGGACACTCTAATCTTCATACTCAATAGGTGAATGACCGCTCTTACAATATTTTACATCTATTAACCGTCTTGTGAGTAAACAGTATAAGTCTAGATATATCATTAAACATTTTTTACGTATATTTTGTGCTTTCAGGTAATTTAATAACACATACGATGATGAGGAAGAAGTTATTTGCTGCACTATTCTAGCTGAATAATTCATCAGCAAAGTTTTTCCATTATTTGCCGAATGAAAACTTGTACCCATTTATAACTTGTATGGATTTGGATTTAAATCTCACTGTGTAATTACCATAGCTCTGAGTAGTTTTCAGCGGTCTTTATTAGAAGAGGGTATATCCAGTTTACTATTTAAACTAGGGATAACCCACAGTTTAGGTTAGGTGGTTTTTGAGTTTTTATATTATTTCTGTTCAGTAAATAAAAACCGTGTGAGTAAAGCTATAAACTAACATAACCTAAACTAACCTAACCTGTGGTTATTCCACAATTTAAAAAGTTGCAGCCCTCTTCTGAGAAAAAGACTTGATTCCAGAATATCTTTTACTCTCCGGGATTTCCGAATATAATTATATTTTATAAACCTATAATTCTCGATACTATTTGTCTGTACTATTCATCAGGTACATGTAAACATAGCATTATGTACTTTGGGACGCTACTCCAATGACAGCACGATGTGATATTAATATGTTTCAACTATCACGACCCTTGGCGTTCTGCCACGGTCTATACGATACGTGGACATCTTTGATCATTCCAAATTATGACTTCCTTCTCTCACTAGTCTCAATCATATTTAATTAGTATCATCACCCCCTCGAAATATGTGTCGTGTTGCTTAAGAATAAGATGAATTTACAGTGCCATAGAACAAGCGCGTTACTTCACTTATTTTCTAAAAAAGGTTGGCGGACTTTTTTAACTTTGCATTTGCTTGTCCAAATAGACTAGAGATCTGTGCGTGGAACGTATCCCGTAAAGCAAGGGGTAAGCCGGTACAGTATGAAGGTGAACTATACTGATAGATGTTTGCGGCAGTGACCAGAATCCGAACCCACGTCTCCGTGACGCTACCAAAAATAGTACTGAAAATATGAAGCCATATTCATGTCTACTACACTTTTTTTGGAGAGGGGGGTTACTATTTTAATAGAATAGTCAGAAATCGATGTCTAATTACAGACGGAGACGGAATCTTTGATTCCCAAATATATCTATAAATAATGTTTCGCAAGCAAAACAAATATGGAAATGGTATTTTGAGTCTCACGTCATAACATTCAAGGAATGATTTAAATTTTTTTTACAAGGGAGTTGTTTCGTTCACACTTTCAACAAAATCCATAAACAAAGATAAACATACGTGTTTATGTGTTGCTTATGAGAGATGACCACTCGCGAAGAAATGCGAAAACACAATCTGGATGGTTTTTGCTAAAGCGATGCATGGGAAGTGTTGAAAATGACAACAGAATAAATCTGTTTTAGACAGAATTTTCTTTTCTGAACAGATTGGTTTATAAGTAGTTTACTCATAATTTAATGTTATTAAATATGAATTCTTTTAGTTTAAACTAATCCTGCAACTAGTTAATTAATATCAGATAATGTTGGCAATAGTAGCAAATTGTATTCCTATAAGATTAATACGATTATATTTACAGCAATTAATAAACTTTTACAACGTATTCATTTCAGATCATCAATATACTTGCAAACATGTAGTTTATCATGCTACTTGTTGTTAACTACGTAATGAATAATATTATTAGAGAAAGTGGGATTATATTGACACTAAAATAATTATTAATAATATCTTAAAAATTAATGGTAGGAGGTATAGTTGCTTACAAATTGTCATAAGGAATTAACATTTCTATCAATTCCAAATTGAAACATTCAGCTTAAATTTATCATGGTCCATGGACAGATAAAAAATTGCATATATCAATAAAAAGTGTAACTATTAGGATAGATTATCGCAATACAAGGATACCCATGAAATTTATGTGGATCCTCTGAGTCCCAGACTAATATTATATCACTATTACCCATGAATACGCAAACACTTCCGTTTATAACCAAACAGTATACACCAAAGTTCACCCATACCAGTAGTCTTTTACATAGTATAAAAACGCGTTAACCTGCCTGCAACTCATATGAAAATTCCAACGTGTGTGAGAAACAGAACTAAGCAAGAACGGAGTGCAGAGTGGCAACAATGCTCGTGCCAGCTGTGTGAGCGCGTGCGTGCATCAGCAGCTGCAGCATCGTTCAGCATTCAGCGGATTCAGAGACCAGTCGCGGCTCAACCTCCGCGCGAGCATCATCACCAGTAGGATGTGGCGCGTGTGTCGGTGGCTGTGCGTGTGCGTGTGTGTGTGCCTCGCCAGTGTATGTAATTGTCAGAGTGTGTGTCCGTCTCGTTGTCTCTGCTTCAGGACGACGGTCAGATGTATGTTCTTGTCACTGGAGACGGTGCCTGCCATTCCCCAGGACACCACTATACTGTGAGTCGAGAAATAGTAGTTGGAAAGTATGACTTTAGACGGATTTTGAATGGGAGCTGCATTATACCCTGTAAATTTATAGTTGCTTGGTGGATTAAGTGGTTAAAGTGATCGTCTAGTCACAAGGTCGCCGGTTCGATCCTGAAAATGGTCAGAAGTTTTAAATGGTTCAAAACTGTATCCTTGATCCATGTGATGAAAAAGAAATTACCTGGCAAGAGAACCAGTAGATAAAAAGCTATTATTTGATCCACTTAACACTCATCCTTATAATACTCGTCTTTATAATTACTCTCACTACACATCTAATCCAGTTAAAACAAATACATATTCTCAAATGATTTGTACAAACCAATTAAAGGACCATTATCGTTCAAATTTAAATAGTCATTTAATTTTGCTACACATAACTATTTGAAGAAAGTTTTGCCAAAGCATAAGACCTCATACGTTCCCTCATACGAGTTTTTAATATATATGATTTTTTGACATACCAGTACATAAGTAATGTGAAGCATGTTTTTAAGCCATCCCAGACAATTTTTACTCTTTCGACTGTGAAACGACTTAATATATAAATTTCGGAATTTTATCTTAGTGAATTTTTGTAGGTGAATATGAGCCAAGTATGAGTTTAATACTAAGGAAATAAAACTAAAAGTAAAAGATGAAGAATCGGTAATAAGGTAATAAGTCGGTGACAAAATGTTAAGTGCGTTGGTAAAGGATAAACAGGTCTAGTTTCAAAACGATACAAATAGTTAGAAGTACTAAAAATTACTTTTGAAGCGAGACATTGATCATTATAAATTTTATACACACAACTACTAATAGTCCCCATAAAAGTTTTAGATGAAAATACAATGATGAAATTGATCACTTACGAATCAATCACAAATTCGTCATTTATCGTCTTAAAACACACCGTAAGAGTTAACCTATTAAAATGAAACATTGTTTTCGGTAATATTAGATTGGCAATTTTATTATACAAGACCGATATCAATTACTTGGAAATTCTCAAGTAACTACATCAATCAAGCGGATTAAAACAAAAGAACCGCAGTAAAAAATAATTGACCCAGTCAATTAAATAAATACCAAGTATAATAAATAACCTTTTTTCAAAGGGAACAAGTTGTATTATCTATATTCCTCCAAAGGAACTTGTAAGAGAGGGACTTTCAATTTAAATGCAAATTTAAGAATTCTATCTCGTAATAGATGGAGAGTGCGAATCCCTAGAATCCTTTTTAGCTAGAGTTACGTTTTCTTCAGGTTAAAGCGTTGATATTGCCAACTTATCAGAATGATATTGCCTTGTCCATTTATATGTTTTTTTTTATATGGGGGTTGTTTCTATATGGGGGTGTGTTTTGTGGGGGTTGAGCATGTTTATTGAACACCTTTTTTCTCAGGTGCGCATCGCAGGGAAATCTACGCATCTACCCTGTTGGAAAGATATTATAAAATTAATTTAATAGTATATTTCGTACCTAGGGCCGAAAATGAGGTTATGCCGGCTCGAGATAGTTTTTAAATTCAAGACGAAGTCGAGAATTTAAATCGATCGAGAGCTGCAAAACAATTTCGGCCCGTGGTACGAACATTATTTTTCACCACACTACTACTATTCATAATAATAATTAATGCATATTGATAGCATCTGTTAGGCAACGCAACTTTAAGGTTATGTGAAGAAGTGATTTAAGGAATCAGCAAAAAAAAAAAATAAATAAATAAATAAATAATAAACAATTGCTGGCAACGGTGAAAATAAAACAATTCTATTGCAGTGCTATGGATACTGATTGTGTATTATTTAACATCAAGCGAATAGCTGATTTTGTGGCGCTAGGGATGTAAAAACCTGCTCGGTCCCTAATGACGATGACAGCTGGCATGGCCAGCAAAACGTAACTTTCAGCTACCAATTAACGTATGTAAAACATCATACAACATAGTGTGGTGAAAAATAATTAAAATGAGCCTTTTGGGTTGCCATGTTGGTGACGAAATAACAACCAAATATAAACAGAAAATAACAAATGAAAGAAATTGCAATGATATGTTTTATTTACACCGTGGGGTGAAAATAAAGAAGTCTGTACATTACACATTTTTGGTCGAGTTTTCAGACCACTGGACGACCTGTAGTTCCTTTTTATATGATGCATTATTTCGTTCCTGTGTGAGGAATAAGGTGAAAATACGATATTTTGTGGCTAACAAATTTTAAGTCTCAAGTGGTCTGTGTTCCGGTTACAGATTCCAATGGCGCCTTGCCAAGTTGCAGTAGTATTTAAATCTTGGACTTTCTCTCTGAATATCCCTGTTTACGATTGACTGCAAACCAGTTTAACCTTGAGATATCTTATGTTTTTTATAAACATAAATTCGAATTATGGTTTGATATAAGAATGCTTATTTACTAAGATTAATTTTACAGTAAGAAGATAAAGCTCAATAAACCTAATAACTACGGTAGCCTAAAATATAATTAGGTACATCATGATGATTATTTACTAGAATATTTGAACAATCAGAACCGTTTTGCGTTATGGATGAAATTTGATAAACCACTTTAAAAGTAGGCCTATAAGATCTAAGGAAAGTATATATTAACCTGATAATATTAGTTATAATTTCTACTGTTATACATATTTTACTCGGATTTGGTTTATTTTAAATTGAAATATAACGTTAATTACGAAGTAAATTATTCTTGAAAATGATCTATATTCAAATAATCATTCACCGATTCGACTTATAAGCTTTTAAAATTAAACTATTTTATTTCAGTTGAGCGATATCTAAGTTTCTAAAAATTGTACACCATAATGGAAATGTGTAAGACTTTTAAAGTTTAATAATCATTGCTGTATTAGCGAGTTCCTTTTTTAACATCATAACTTACAACTAGAAATAAGTTAGTATTTTGTCCACAATACGACGTTAATGGAGTATTAGGAAACTATACAACAAGTTTTAGGACCTCTCAATATAATAAGGGTCTGAGTAAAAATTACGAACCATAGTCCGCTAGAAATTCCCTTTCGTAAGAACGTCGGAATGTATTTTAAACACACCAGTTTACCAGGCTGTATCCAAGACTAGTTTAGTCAGCCGAGGTGTTACTCTCACTGCTAATGCAATATTCTTGTTTCTCATTTAGCTAATTTAAATTCCTGAGAAATCCCTTGATAGGCTACAATTCGTTTTGATTTTACCACTTTCAGTTTGTCACCTGCAGTCCCGATTTTTGATTCATGTTTTAAATTTAGTTTACATAAAAGGCAGTTTTATAGAAGTATGCTTTCAATAGCCTTTATGATTATATTTATTTAATTTTACACAACTTACATTCCAATGACTATTTTTTTTAATTTAATATAAATAATAATAAGCCTATGATAATGTTTAATGCCAACCAGTAACGGAAAATGGGTAGCCACATTAATTTACATATTAATCCGCTGAAATGAGTATAATTTGTTTTGTAAATCAAGGTTAATTGCGTCAGTATTTCATTTAAATTGGATATTGGATTTGTACACGTAATTTATTTAGTTAATTAATTACATAGTGATTGTTTTGCTTGGCTTTAAATAAATACAAACATTATAACCAGTAAATAGTTATTTTTTTTTTTAATTATATTAATATGCTTTGCTGAATGCAAAACTCTTGTATACATTTCTGAAATAGTACTTAAAATAATCAAACAATGTATATTTCAATTAGTTGATGCTGGAAATAATAGAGGTGCAGAATTTCCCTAGAGTAATTTACATAGTTGCAAACCTTTGTTTTAAAGAGGTTTAATTTGTAGGGTGTGAAATAAAGAGTTAGCAATTTATTGGAGTATATATATATAACACAGTCGTCAAAATTCAATGATATAAATGACTTATTTCTGCCAAAATACGCATATTTCTCAACCAATCCAAGAAGAAAAAATAACTATCACTATAACTATAGAAAAATATATATTAAATTGCACCATACTTTGTTATTTATATTCAACCATGTGACTTGTTTTATAAAAAAAACCTATATCAGGTCCATGTTTTTGTCCTAGGACGCTAGGCACGAACCTGGGATTGTTTTTCACATTACTTCAGACTAGACCTAGGGGCTGCGGCATTATCACTTAGACAAAATCCAATGGTGAGTTGGCGAGATTTGAACCCGGGACCTCTAGGACCGGAATCTTGCGCTCTATCACTAGACCAGCTCGTTCCCCTATATATCTGGTCCATTTAAATGGGATGTCTACTTTCAGATCAAAGTCAATGGTTATAGCTACTGAAAGCGTATTTGCAAAGAGGAGTCTCATGTAAAAAATGCAGTTAGCTGCGAAATTATCCTTCTTTGTCTACTCTGGTGACAAGACGGATATAGCCTTCCTTTGATGTCCCACTCAGCTGGTTTGGGAGTTCAGCTTTTGTAGGGTTAGAGTGTGAATGAGCCTACTCTTCTAAACAACATTGCAAACATCTTGTGGTTGGTAGAAGTACGTTTGAAACGGTGTTATGCCAAAAAATTAATAATTTTGGTCAAAAGATCAAATTAAATAAACAAATCTTATTTTCAAAATTATTTAAGTGCATGTTGACAAAACATCGTCAGTATAAAGGGAAATACAAAACAAAACACGTATGTATAAGAATTATCCATCACATTGTGCGTGGGAGAAATTTATTATAGGAAAAATAAGGGTTTAGTTTAATTTTTGGCAATAAATAGTGTTTTTCTTCATCACATAAACTATGCAGTAAATTAATTTGTAAGTTCTGAGTCCATGAGAGTGTAGAGATGTTTTCATCAAATATTCCTTTGAAATCTAACTTCTTGGAATAGTTTTAAAATATTTATTTCAACATTGATAATTTACTATTATTCCTTCTAACTATAATAAATTGTGAAATTTACCTATACACGTATTTAGCTGGCTAACTAATTATCAATAATCATAAGAAAATAAATTGTTTTATAAA